GGCCTGACGGGGCCTGCGGGTCGGTGCAGGGAGGGCCCGGCCTGGGCGGGAGGAGTGGGCGCGTTGTGCGGGGCGCAGGGCGCGTTGTGCGGGGCGCGGGGCTTGCAAAACAAAAGCCAGGCCCCGATCTCCGGCGAACGCAGACTCGGCTCGGAGCCTCCGGGAAGGCGCGTCCGCTCGGAGCCCACGACTGAGCGAGACGCCCGGCGTTGACACTGTCCGCCCCGTCCTCACCGACCACGCACCGGGGTAAGAAGCAGGCCGGCCGGAGACGTCTGAAGTGCGAAGATTGCAGCCCCGGGAGTAAAACGTCAGCAAATAGGTGGAGATTCTGGTCCTTTCTTTAAGCCAGGCGGTAACTGTAACCCGGGCCTCAGACCCTTTGATGGGGCAGAGAAGTCTAACTGGTGACCATGGTACTCCACTCCATCACCCGGGACCTAGCAGCCCTGGAGAGAGTTCCCCCAACTCTGCTTTTCCTTTGTCCTTTTTAAAGTTTAATAAGCTCACAATTTAAATCTCATTTAGAAATCATTTTTTAAAAGCTATCAGAGGAACTTCTATTATCCATGTATCCTATGACCATCTATAGACATAGATTCTGTACATTCTTAAATTTCCACTGATTGAGATGACAGTAAATGCTCAACTATTGTATAGTCCTTTTAGGAAAATCACAAGTAAACTGGGGGTGATGGCCTCACCTATAATCCTTTCTGTTCTGGAGGCAAAACTGGAAGATTGCAGTTAAAAGCCATCTGGAGATCTCACCTCAAATCAATAACCTGGCATGGCAGTGCAGGCTTTGAACCCAGCTACTTAGGAGGTATGGGCAGTGATGTAAGATTCTCTGTGAAAATTAAGTAAAACAAAAAGTTTATTTTTTTTTCTGTGGACTGGGAAAGAGGGTAGATTATCATTAACACCTCATATATGATCAACCTTGACATTAAAGATTGCAGGACCAAATATATTTATCAAGAAACAGGGAGTTGGGCACTAGTGGCTCACACCTATAATCCTAGCTACTCAGGAGGCTGACAACAGGCAGAAAAATCCCTGTGAGAGACTTATCTCCAGTTAACCACTAGAAAACTGTAAGTAGCTTTGTAGCTCAAAATTGTAGACTGCTGCCGGGCGCTGGTGGCTCACGCCTGTAATCCTAGCTACTCAGGAGGCTGAGATCTGAGGATCGCGGTTCAAAGCCAGCCCGGGCAGGAGAGACCGTGAGACTCCTATCTCCAATAAACCACCGGAAAACCGGAAGTGGCACTGTAGCTCAAGTGGTAGAGCGCTAGCCTTGAGCTGAAGAGCTGAGGGACAGCGCCCAGGCCCAGAGTTCAGGCCCCACTATTGGACCAAAAAAAAAAAAAAAAGAATATATATGTGATCTTACCTATGATACTGTGGACCTGCTCTTCTCATATATATAATATATATTATTATAAGTGCTAGTTCTGAGTTTCTTGGTAACCCTATTTAGCACATGACATACAATTTTTGCTTTCATTCAGTATTTACCATAGAGCATGTTATGTATCACAAATCAGAAAATATTTTTATTTGTTGTGCTGATCCTGGGGCTTGAATTCAGCCTAGGAACTGTTCCTAAGTTTCTTTTGTTCAAGGCTAGTGTTCTACTACTTGAGTTACAGCTCCTCTTCTGGCTTTTTTGGTAGTTAATTGGAAATCAAAGTCTCCTGGACTTTCTTGCCTGGACTGGCTTTGAACCAGTCTTCAAATCTCAGCCTCCTGAGTAGCTATTACAGGCGTGAGCTACTGGTTCCTGGGCAGAAAATATGGTAAAATCAGTATAGACATATAGTTATCTCAGAGCTTTAAAAATGAACATATACACAAAGGCACATTGCCTATGTGCATCTAGTCATACAAAATAATATTTATCGAAATGAATTCCAGGAAGTGGAAAACTGTCCAGACATAATGGCATTAAACCAGAGGAGTCATACAAATTACAGAGGAGAGTCTCCTTACATTCTAGTAAAATGCTTACTGGATCTGCTTGACTAAAGACATACCCTTGCTCACTCTGAGTAGTGATTGAAATAAATCCCAGCAACACCAAGTGGGGTTGAAGAAGATCACAATTGTAAATTGCTATATAAATAAAGGCAAGTACTTTTAAGAAATCTCAGCTGCATTGTGTTGCTGTTCAGCAGCTCCCATTACGCAAGAACAGGGTGAACACATACACATTCATCTCCCTGGTGCCAGGAATGTTGTCCTGAACCCCTTGGCAGGATCAGAAATACTGCCAGAGGACGAATACAGAAAGTTGTTATGGAAACAAGCCTGCTTCAACTCAAAGTTATTTACAGACGACTTTCAGGATTATCTCATGCTACAAAACCAAGTCTTGCTTCATGCAGGCCAGTACTACAAATACCTATTTTTAAGGTTTCTTCAGACAGCTGTCCTAGAGTTAACATGGTCTCCAGAGACGGGGTGGTGATGACATCACCAAGGGTGATTTGTGTGTAGCATTTTTGTGTCCCACATTCGAAACTTGTTCACACTTGCCTTGCCATTGTCCAGTGTGTAGGCTGCCCTAATGCAGGAACAGGGTGGCTGTTGACTACAGCATGTAGCAGGGAAACATTTCCTGTCTCTCTGGACCCACCTATGATAACTGGACCTACCCTTGTCATTCTCTCCAGTTCCCCTCCAGGCTGGACAGTAGCAGCCGCTTCTGGCCATCAGTTTTTGCCCTTAATTTGTTTTTTGTTTTGCCCCTTCTCTGTCCTTAATTGTGAATTGGAATTTTTCCAGCTATTCAGGAGCATCTTTGAAAAGAGGAAGCTTTTTGTTTTATTCCTCTTGTTTCTGAGAAAGTGATTGAATAATGAGGATTTTCATAGCTTTTGAAGGATCTTTTGAACCTTTTGATGTTTCAGCAGATGAAACTGTGGAAGCTGTCAAGCTGATGATAAAGGTACGCACTTTGTCCCAGAGCCACTAAAATGTATATTGATTTTAATTATGCAGTATAGCTTAATGAATGTGTTGGATGTTTTCAGCAAGCAGTAAACTGATGAAACGATTTGAAAGTATCACTATTTGTTTGTTTATAAGATAGGTTGGTAAGAATCTAGTAGCTTTGGAGAGGTTAATACCAGTATCACCAAATAATAGTAATTATTACCATGTTATATTATTATACATATTATTACTGAAGGAAAATCTCAGTTTCTTAGAGTTGGTGAAAATGAAAGTGAGGGCCCCTCCCTCTTCATAAACTTTTGGGATTTCTATAGACTCCAGGTTAACCCTGTCTAATATTTTTCCCTTTATCAGAAAATAATTGTAATACCAATTGGAAACATATTAGAGATAGAGGAGAAAGACCCATACACACAGAGGACGGAAGGCAAGGGAGAGAAATAGATTACAGTTCTGGTCTAGTAATGCAGAGATGTCCTGTCTTCATAATATGTATTGATTTTTAAGGATTATTTCCACATTCCTCTCTCTGAGGACAAACAAGGCCGGCGGTCTCTGGAGCTAGTGTATGCTGGAGCTGCTCTAAGGAACAGCTGGAGTCTTGCTGATGTTGGAGTATCTTTCTGCTCAACTCTTAAATGCTTTGTTAAGGTATGATGATCAGAGTAACATTTGTCCAAGGTGTCTATTTCACTTCAAATTAAGTTGTGGATAACCCACCCGAATTAGTTTCTTAACCTGGAAGGAGGTGGCTTTTGTTTTCTTTTGTTGCCTTCTGTCTTTTGTAAAATGCACTTAAACATACTTTGTGCATGGACAAGAATTTTGCCCTCCTGCCTACTCTTTTTTCCCCTTTTCTTCTCCATCCCCTTGCTGCCTGCCTCACCCCATCACCACACACCAATATTAGAGCAAGACTAAGGGGCAGGTCTGAAAGAGTTACAGCGGAGTATGGCTCAGGTGCCAGAGCACTGCCTAGCAAGTACGAAGCCCTAAGTTCAATCCCCAATTTGGAAGGATCTCACGATACTTTAAATGAGAGGTGATGAAGAAATTAGGTCACTCCCAGAAGCCACAATAATTAGGGCAGTATAGTGTAGAAGAAGAAATTCTCAGTAATGGTAAGAATGACAGGACTGTTTATGTATCCAAATCTAGCCAGAGCAGAAGTTGAATTTGATAATAATCGTTAACACACAGCCCTTTCCACTTCTAGAGTGCCCTTAATTAATGATGCATAACTTGGGACCTCTGGCTAGGCTTTATATTTCACAGAAACATAAAATGGTAAAATATCCAAATTTTGTGCCTAGAGATTTTCTGGAGTTACTGTCTTTAACTTGCAACCTTTTTTTAAAGGGACAGGAGCCAAAAAATTTTCAGAGCTAATTGCTCTAGCATTTGTCAAGAACAAGCTTAGTTGAAAATAGATTTGAAAATCAAAAGAAATTTAAAAACCAAATTTGTTAAATTCCCATACCTGAACTGTTCAGCTTGCTGTGGAGAGGTACTCAGTCCCATGTTGACAGTTGTTTTAAATCTTCATGTGGTCTGCTGAGTGTGATCCTGCCCTGAGTGTTGTGAAAATGTGCCTCCTAAAAGGCAAATGGTGTCCCCGAAGCAAGGTAAAAATGAATGTGCTTAAGTGCCTGAAGTGATAAAGTGAAAAATTGGTTTGTTGAAAGATGACATGTCTTTAGTAAAAGTTGGTTAGTGTATAGGAGTCAAGTATGAGCATTGGAGGTGTTTCCTTGGCTACACCTCCCACAGAGACCCACAGACTCTCACCAGCCCCCACAGAGACCCACAGATACCCAGGGTCTACTGTACTCTTTACCCCACAAGAAAACATGAGCCTCAAAGAACTACTAAAGTACAAAGTCTCCATTAAGTGGGCACTTACTTTCTCATATTTAACATTAATTTTTTTTCAGGGGTTGGAGGCATGGCTCAATTGGTAAAGCATTAGTCAATGAGTAAATGCATCAGGTACAATGATCTCAGATGGAAAGAGAGAAAAAGATGGGGGAAGAAAAAAATTTTATTTCTAGTATTCCTTTAATATGTATTAAGTAGTAAAGATATGTAAAATAATAAGCATTGCATGACCCCACTTGCGTAAACAAAAGACTATGTTATAATGTTTTATAAACATTTAGACCATGTTATAATGTTTTATAAACATTTAGACCATGTTATAACGTTTTATAAACATTTATTGATATATATTTTTTTCTATCATTGAAGAATGTTTAATTTTCCAAAAATGAATTAACAGCCAGATGCTGGTTGCTTGCACTTGTAGTTCTAGCTACTCAGGAGGCTGAGATCTGAGGATCATACTTCAAAAACAGCCTGGACAAGAAAGTCCATAAGACTCTTATCTCCAATTAACTACAAAAAGGCTAGAAGTGGAGTTCTGGCTCAAGTGGTAGATCAACAGTCTTGAGTAAAAAAGCTAAGGGACAGTGCCCAGGCCCTGAGTTCAAGCTCCAGAACCAGCACAAAAATAAAGTAATAATTAATAATTAATTAATAATTAATAATAAAACAAAGCAACATCTATCTCAGTGATGTAAACTTCTCACAGAGCACTAATATTTTCTGGAATTTTAACACCATGAGTAGGATACAGAGGTAAAATAATTTATTCAAGAAGGCCAAACTAGAATATAACTGTTCACAGAATTGGCTGACATACAAGTTTCAATTAAAACTCTCAGGTTCTGTGGAAATCTTCCTGAGTATATTCTTCTGTATCTAACAGAATCACATTTAGGAATTGTTGTTACTCATATTCGAAAGGAAAATAATGTCTTTATTCTGAAGGAAGAGAATCACCTAATGTTGGCTTACCTCTAAATAAATTTCTGTTTAGACAGTAAAATAAGTCCATTTCTAAAGTCCACACTGCTTACTATACAAATACAAGTTGAAAAAAATAAGCTTATAATAGCAAGTTCTCTTCATTAAATAAATAAAAAAAAAAGCCAAGCACCTATACCTGTAATCTGAGCTACTTAGGAGGCTGAGATCTAAGGCTCACAACTTCCAAACTAGCCTGGGTAGAAAAGTCCAGACTTTTATCTACAGTAAACTACTCAGAAAAGGCCAGAAGTGGTGGTGTGGCTCAAGTGGTAGAGTAGTAGCTTTGAGCACAAAGAGGCATAGTACATGAACATTTTTATTGAAAAGTAAGACGTTTTGTGTGTATCTCCTACCATGGCATCTTGGTTTGTTTCTTTTTCTGTTTGTTTGTTTCTATTTTTTATTTTTTTTGTTGGTCGTGGGGCCTGAACTCGGCCTGGGCGCTGTCCCTCAGCTCTTCAGCTGTAGACTAGAGCTCTACCACTTGAGCCTCAGCTCCACTTCCAGCTTTTTCTGCTTATGTGGTGCTGAGGAATCAAACCTAGGGCCTCATGCATGCAAGGCAAGCACTCTACCACTGAGCCACCTTCCCAGCCCCTGGTTTGTTTCTAAAAGGAAAAAATCTAATATTAAGTATGCCCAGCAGTGGCCTGCATATGGTATTGTTTACTTAATACCATCTGACTTCATTGGGTATAATTAGCCAGCCAGTCCTGATTCAGAATACTTGGGGAGCAGTCTCACAAAACAAGGGTGGAGAGGTGCCTTTCATGCAAGGTGGCAGTTGCCATTAATTGGTACCTGTCTGCTCTCTGAATGCACCCAGAAGGCAGAAGCATCTGTCAGTCACAGCAGACTACTTCCTTTTGCCTGCTATACCCTTTCATTCTTTCTCTCCTTGCCCATTCATGAAGAGTTACTTGAAGAAAGCAGATTTAGATTGCCTCTCTATCTCTTAATCTTGTAGCTTAGCATTAAAGGTGGAGATTATCTGCTTTTTTTTCCCACTACCTAAGAAAGTCATGATTGAGCTAAATCTACAAAACAGGAAGCACAACCAGTTTCCCTTTTCATTAAGAAAGAGGAAATGTAATCATCTTCTCCTCCCCACCCACTTCTCATATTTGCTGATTTGGGCTTGATTAAACTTTGCTAGCAGGATTAATATTTTCCTCCAACTTTTCAGTCTGCCTCCACTAATGATATCTCAGCACCACTCTCTTTCTCATTTGGGTTGTAAGATAAAATGAACATTTAAAAAACTCATACTGTACAGGTGGACCTGTTGCAACAATGAGAAGTACAAGTTGTTATGTCGAAAACGAACTTTACAACTTTGGTGGGGGGGGGAGGATTGGGGGGGCAGGAGGAGAATGGGAAGGGATGGGAAGGGGAAACAAAGGAGGAGGCTACAATGCTTGATAAGAAATGTACTCATTATCTTGCCCATGTAATTGTAACCCCTCTGTACAGTATTTTCACAATAAAAAATGAATAAAATTAAAAAAAACTTACACTGTAGTTTTAATAGTAAAAATACGGGGTTACTGCATTTTAAAAAAACAACAAAGCAAATAGACAATGGGGAACACTGAACAAGGAGAGAAACTTTCCCTGCCTCTCTCCCTCGACTCAGTTCAACTCCTGTTGCTTTCTTAGACAGTTTTTAAATCAACCAAAAATTTAGAACCCACCGCATTCCAAATCAAAGCCCAGAAGAAGGGAGGGCCTCACCCAGATCACACCTCTGCCAGTACAGTGTGGGTGGGTGTAGATTGTCCACATCGTCCAGGTGTCAGCTGTGTCCACTAAGTGAGAATGGCCTCGGGGCCCTGTCAGGTCTCCTCCAAGCAGGGCCTTCCTTAAAGTCACTAGTGTCCCCAGCGATGGATGAGGGGTTCCACACACAATCACAGGTCCTTCAGCTGGACTCATGAAAAATATTCCGAGGTTTCTCACAAAAAGGAGTCCCACAAGATACATTTTTTCACAAACATTTAGGATAATAAGGTAGTGAGAAATTGATCACGAATCATTTCCTGCTCCTCATGCAGCAAATGGGAGTTACTGGCTCAAGATGGTAGCTCCTATCTGGTGCTTTTATCCCTTTTGAGGTGGGCCAAATCATCTAGTCATGTCATTTAGCAACTCATCCTTAGACAGTAGTTCAGGCTGGGCTGGACCAGTGAGGTCCACACAAAGCCCGGTGGCCTTCCAGACTTCCTTTTGCCTGCTGCATCCTTTCATTCTTCTTTCCTTGCTCAGTCATGAAGTTACTTGAAGAAAGCAGATTAAAATCCACTCCATCTCCTAATCTTGTAGTTTAGCTTTAAAGCGGAGATAATCTGGGTTTGTTTTTTTCAGTTTACTTCCTTTTTTTGACTCTGAGTCTGGCCCTCCTGATTGATAGTTGTTTAATCTTTTTGTTTCTCCTTCCCCGTTCAGGACAGGGGAGCAGGACAGTCAGAACTAAACTGGCCTTTGTTTTCACCCTTGGCGGCTCCAGGGTCCTCTCACACCTCTGTCCCTAACCCCACCACCAAACAGTGAGTTCCTTCCTGCTCCTTTCTGTCACTCCCTAGGAAGAAGATAAGCCTGTTCTCTATGTGTTCAATGCTGTGACCCAGGAGACAATGCCAGTCTTGGAAGACATTTCTCTTTTGGATAAAAAAGTGTCCGATCTACGGACACTTGTGACTGGGCAATGTGGCCTCCCTGTGAGTGTCTACTGTCTCCGCACCCCACAAGGACTGGAGATGTATGACTGCAACACGCTCAGGGACTACCAGGCGGACCTCGGTACTGCACACCACCCTCCACAGCATAAAATACTATTCTGAAACCGACTTTGTGCACCCTTATCTTAAAATGGTGCCAGTTAGATTAAAGCAATCATTTATATACAGTGCGGGATGAGGTGCCTCACCACACAGACATTTGCCCTAGAGTCAGATTACAATCTCTCTTTAAATGTTGTACTTTCAGGTCTCTGCTGGTAGCTAGCCATCAAAAAGACAAATCCAAATTTGACAAACTCTATATTGAATGTTAACCATATTAGACCATGATTTGAATCTGAAAGAGAGTATTGCATGGGGGGGGGGTAAAAAGATTATTGTTTGGGGAGAGTGAGTCCTGCTGACATTAGCAGGTGAGGCTGCAGCTGAGTCCTGAGTTCTCCCAATTTACCCCAGGGCTTTGCAGGCACACGGGTGAAGCAGGCTTCCTTCCCGTAATTGCTAGTGAGGCAATGATCCATACTTCTCCTGGCTACTGTGTCTGCCTGGCAATATTCCTCACATTGTTTCAAACTGAGGCAGCCAAAACTTTGATATCAATTATTGTCCCCATTTTTGACCAGAGAGAGTGAAGTTGTAAGATCTGTCCCTGGTGTATCTGACTAATTGTGCATGCTTGCTGGAGGTTGACCCGGTCTGGAGAATGATGAAAGCTCAAGCGATGATCGAATTGTCCAGAGAAATGCCAGAAGACAAAACAAAACTGGGAGAAACGCTCATACTGTCCTCAGGTCCTACGCTGTTCAGATCACAATGACATCGTAGAGCTGAAGAATTCAGAAATGGCCTAACCTATCTTTTTTTAAAGCATGGTTTTTGAATGGCTCACTCAAGATGTAGGTTGCATGCTTTAGATATGAAAAAAAATCCCATTTTAAAGTCATGCAGCCAAAAAAAAAAAAAATAGTTCAGGACAAAGCTCTTAGTACAAGCAAAGTCTTTTAATTCCCTTGCAGGGAAAATGTGGAGAGATGGGTTGAGTTAGCAGATTTAAGGTGGGTAGTCTGCCTGTAAAGGTGGGGTGCTGAACACGGTGAGAAGTGCTACAGAGAGCCGTGTAGCAAGGGCCAGACACGGGCCAGAGGCCAGCACTGCCAGGGCTTGGGACGCGCTGACATCAAGGCAAGCAGGCGTCCGTGGAGGCAGACGGTGCGACATGGGGGCTGTTGCGGAGTCAGGAGGGAAGCAGGGACTTTGTTCTTTGGCAGATGATGAAGAACACACTTTCACCAGGCTGGGAAAAAGCCAGACAATCCCCAAACCTTTGATCCAGTGAAAGGTTCTCAGTGAGCTCAGGGAGAACAACCTGACAAAGCAGATGGGGACAGAAAGATTGTAAGGCTTAAAGTGAGAAGTGCGGGGCAAAGGGCTTTCCGGGCGACAGAACATTTAGTAATTCAGTAACTTACTCAGAATCTGTCCAACTAGCCAGGTACATCCAACTAGCAATGTAATCCCAGCTCTCCAGGAAGGGAAGGCAGGATAGGGACTTGGGCTGCATAGAGTAAAAAAGAAAAAAATATGTAGTACATATACATTTTTTTTTGGCCTGGGGCTTGAACTCAGGGCCTGGGCTCTGTCCCTAAGCCTCTCAGTGCTCAAGGCTAGCACTCTACCACTTGATCCACAGCGCCACTTCTGGCTTTTCTGTGTATGTAGTACTGAGGAATCAAACCCAGGGCTTCATGCATTCTAGGCAAGTGCTCTACCACTGAGCCACATTCCCAGCCCACCTATACATTCTTTTCTTTTTTTTTTTGCCAGTCATGGTGCCTAAACTCTGGGCCTGGGCACTGTCCCTCAGCTCCTCAGCTCAAGGCCAGGGCTCTACCACTTGAGCCACAGCGCCACTTCTAGCTTTTTCTACTTATGTGGTGCTGAGGAATCGAACCCAGGGCCTCATGCATGTGAGGCAAGTGCTCTACCACTGAGCCACCTTCCCAGCCCCCACCTATACATTCTTATATAAAATTATATAGGACAGATGTTCATTTTAGCTCCATTTCTAGTTCTTAACTCTGCCCAGGTTTTCCTCTCCTCTGCTTCCCTGCATGCTTATCTGCTTGTTATTCTGTATATGTTTTCCATGTGATGATAAGCAGACACCAATCCTTTCTAGAACAGAGTGAATGAGTGTGTGCCTGTTTTTCACCTTCTGATGCTGGTGACTGGTTTTTACTTCAATGCCTCCTGCTTGTATTCATGACCAGCTAGAGTGCATGGTCCCTTGGAAACTAACCCAGGAGCAGAGAGAGTCCTGCCAGTTCAGATACTGATTTCTGGGCCAGCTCCAGGACAGCTCTGCCAACACTGGGAAACCTACTGTGCCATCTTAATTCCCTTTATTTAGGAGAAAACTGGGGCTTAGAGAGGTGACCTGATCAAGGTCATACTGCCCACAAACAGTGACCAAACCCATAACTGGGTTCTTTTCAATCATTTATATGGCCAAACCAGCAAGCTTTTATTGATGTGCTTTAAGTTCTGATGTTTTACTTTGATTCTTCAGTGTAGGGAGCTCCAAGCCAAGGTAAAGGTTTCCATATTCAGGAAGAATGCAGACATGGGGGAGACGGGAAGCCCCCACCGACAGTGTTGGGACTGTGCTCTGGAACAGGCTGGTGGCTCCCAGGTGCTCTCCAGGCTACACTGTGTATGGTGGATGGGTTTGCAATGGGAAAACAGGTGTAGCTTTGCAAAGCTCAATTTCCTGGGTCCCCTATTTGAAAAGAACCTACAGTTAGGGTAGTTAGGAGACTTGCACAGTGTGGGGTCCTGAGACTTGAGTTTTCCTACTTTTACTGTCCTCTCCGTGAAAAGCTTGGGAAGTATGTCCTGAAGCAACCCGCAGTTTTCAGGAGGTTCCAATAGAACCCCTAAGCTTAAGAAGGAACTTAAGTGTGTGACAAAGAAGGCATTAGAGACCCGAAACCCTGAAAGGCTAAAAGGATTATTCAGTCAAGGGTGATTAGAAATTCTCTGAATATTTAAAAGTTGAGCATTTAAGAGAAAAAAAAACTCTCAATTGCTACCTTTGTTCTTTGAGAAATAAGGACCACTTTACTACAAGTAATTGAATTGCTTGTTATTTGCTTACAATTGCTAGCAAACGGGGAATTGATGTGTCCCTTCTGTGTGTGTGTGTGTGTGTGCGCACGCGTGCGTGTGTCTGTGTCTGTGTGTGCTGGTACTGGGACTTGGAACCAGTTCCTTAAAGTGGAACAAAATCCCAGCTCCAGGGGGGTGCCCTCCTGATGTTAAAGAGGATTAAGCTAGAGGCAGCTGAGAGCCTGGGGGCAGGGATGGGCAGATAGGCGGACGGGAACCCCCATCCCTACATCTGATAGAGGGAAGTTAGCCTGCAATAAGTCTTGCTAGTGGAAGTCTACAGCTGGCAGCTGGAGAGCAGAAGACCCTGTGGGCAATCAGTCTAGCAGGACTGAGGTGGCGGCTGACACTGGAGACGCTGGAACCGTGAAGCAGAAATGTGACCCCTGAGATTAAGGCTCAGAGCGGGAAATTTAAAGATGATTCTTCAGTCCTGAAAACCCAAAGACAGTGTAGGCTGGCGGGGTTCACCACAAGGGGCTCAGGAGGGGCTGGGTCAGACAAGGCAGGTGGGATGCACGGGGGAATGCCAGCTCTCCACCCTGGAAGGACCAGGGCTGCTCTCTGTGCCTGGAGCCCAGAGAGCTCACACAGAGGCTGTGTCGCCCCAGCTATGGGAGAACAGTGAGGCTAGCGCGTTCCATGGCTCATCTGTGATGATTAGGGTGCACAGAAGGGAAATGGCTTTCCCAAGCTAATAGAGGCTCAAGTTTAAACAACAAAATCTCCTTCCAAGGTTACTCCTCCTTGGGCATCTGGCTCATGTCTTGGTTTGGAAAAGCTTTCCTTATCACTAGAAGTGTTGCGGACTGTCAAATCATAGTGTAGACTGAGCTAGAACTACCTTTTTAAAAATACTAATAATATTAGTACATGTAAATTGTACAATGGAGGCTTTATTGTGACACTTGTAGCCTGTAAACTAAACTGCTTCCTTCTCATGATCCATAGGAACAACACTTCGTCTGGATGTCTGGGATGGATGGAAGGAATTTCTGATGGGCTGTCTCCTTGGACAAAAACTCAGAGTCCAACGCTATTTATCAAAAGAAGGACCGGTACTCAAGTAGGGGGATAAAGCAAATGCGGCATTCATGGACTTAACTTCTTGCTAAGGCTCTGTTACAGCTGAAGCTCCACGTGAATGCTGCTGGCCCCAGTTACCCAGATGCTGGCTGGAGTGGGGCTACAGAGTGCATGAAATAGTTAAATAGAGACTGTTTAGTGTGGTTTGGATTTTACACTTTGAACACTTTTGAACATACTTATTTTCAGAATAAGTAGGTCGCCACTCACATTCTATTATTATTATTATTTTGCCAGTCCTGGGGCTTAAACTCAGGGCCTGAACACTATCCCTGAGCTTCTTTTGCTTAAGGGTAGCACTCTACCACTTGAGCCACAGTGCCACTTCTGGCTTTTTCTGTTTATGTGGTGCTGAGGAATCAAACCCAGGGCCTCATGCATGTAAGGCAAGCACTCTACCACTACTTCATAAAGTATGTTTGATGTGGTCTTTATCTGAGTGTTCACAATCTGCCACTGGTGAAGTTGCTCATATGGCTGGTGAAGAGGAGCAGGTGGGTTAGAGGAGGAGCCTACACAGTAAAGCACTCTGGCCAGCTGCTCCCACCTGCCTAAGCTGCATGAACCTTTAGGGTTCAACTCAGTGGTGGTTCAGGACAGTGCCCCTTCCTGAGAGATTCAACTCAATGTTACAAAAGGCCATAAAGTGACAGGTTAGGGGAGCCACTTTTTCAGTCTTAGAAAATGCTCAAATGGTTTACACTAACTTCTGTTTGGATCCTGATCTCATGATCAGGATTCAGACACGTAGCTGTGTTTCAGAAGAATTGAATGCAATCCGAGACCCACACTGCTACATGCACTGTCTTACTTCATGCTGACACCTTATGAGGTGTTGCAGGTGCAGTACAAAGGCCAGTGCAAACCCAAAACAGGGAAAGAGGAGGTGAGAAGTGGAGACAGGAGCAGATGAAGGATGAGTCCTTGGAGGCCAGAGGAGGAGTCTATAAAGTTAAATTTCACCAGGAAGCGACTGGGGGCTGCAAAACAGTAGACAGGCAGCCCCCAGGTTATGGAATACAATGTTCCCTGTGTGCCACGTGGCTCTAACAAGACGGGGGGGGCCAGCACTGGGAAGGTGGGAGGGAAGGGGAAGGTGGGGCGCCAGCACTAGGGAAGGCTGACCAGAGAAGAGGGGTGTAGGGAAGAGCAAGAGGTCAGGTCAAGATACTAGTACTGACAGGGAGAAGCCAGAAAATTCTAAACCATGCGGCATTGCTTGTAGTCATTTCCATTTGCTACTACATATGAGTAAGCAGGACCTGTAAAACTTAACCTTATGTTACCTAAGCCTTTTCTTAAACATGTTAAGGGAAACAAACATGGTGCTGGTTTTTGCGTTGCTGACTTACCAACCCTCCCCCCCCCACACCTGTTTTCCTCATCCAGGTATCAGAGAAGGGTGGCTCTGTACATGGCCGCCTTTCACGGCTACACTGATCTCAGCGAGTGGGCCCTGAAGCAGGGTGCCAGGCCCCACGAGGCAGTTGGTGCTCACCCCTACCGCGCGTGGTGCCATGAAGCCCTTCACGCAGATGTCTCCAGATGCCCGGTGCATGCCGCTGCAGAGACTGGCCAGCTGCTCGTTCTGAAGGCCTTTGTCAACTGCAGCGTTCTGTGTCTCGTATGCAGAGATGCTGGGGGACAAACCCCACTGACCATCGCGGCCAGACACAGGCACAAAGACTGTGTGGTATATTTGCTAAGCAAAATGTGGTCCACGGTGCCTTTTCTGAAAATCGCAGTCCCGATGATGCTTTATATTAAAATAAAGCAATGGATCCTCCGAGCTCAGAATCACAGCCTTCACAAAAGCCAGCTTAGCAGAGCAAGAGGCTTGGGGGCAAAAGTGGGAGACACTGTGATGGTGGATGGCTTTACCACCCCAAAGATGACCTCCAAGAGCTGGCATAAGGCTGGGAACAAGGACTCACAAAGCACCCTGAGCAAGCTCCCACCCCATCAGGGGCAAGCTGCAAGCAGGAAAGCTGGCAATTCTCTGGTGGTTTCACAGAGGAGCTCCAGAGAACAGACCCTCACGTTGCCTCTGCTGGTAGATGCAGATAGGTTCTCTGACATACAAAGACCCCAGCTAGAAAACCAGAAGATAATTACTGCTCCATCTGGGAAACAAGAGGCGCACATAAGAAATACACACCTTCCCCAAGTCCCCCTCCCTCCATTTTCAAGAGTGGGCTGCTCCCACCCGCCCTTGTACTACGCATCGCCACGTGCTGAGGGCCTTCTAAGGTCCTCCTTCGCGTCTTTCTCACAGTACAGTGGGAGGACCCCCCGGGAGAACGCGGTCTACTGCCTAGCTGTGGCAAGGTAATGCTTTCTCCTTTGAGCATGCTGAGTAGACTTTAATACAGCAGGCCCTGGGCAGAGAACGTTTTGTAAAGTCCTCCTAGAACAGCAAAATCAGTTGCTTCAAAGCACCTAATGAAACCCAGCGTCAAAGACCACATCTTGCTGCACATGGCAGTTCATGTGTACAATATGACACTCAGAACACTGAGGCAAGAGGATCACAGGTCCAAGGCCAGCCTGGGTTACATAGCCAGGTCATGTCTCAGGACACCATGTCTAGGACACAGGCTCATGTTTAGGACACAATGGTAGTTGTGTATATTCCCCTTACTCCTCCAGCTCTCTGGAGGAAGAGTCATGAAGAACTGAGCATCACTCTGATCTGTTACTTAGGCTGGGTTTTTGGAGCTAAGAGGAGAATGTTAATTATAGCTCAAAGGAAAAGAAAAACTTAGCCAGGCGCTGGTGGCTCACGTCTGTCATCCTAACTACTCAGGAGGCTGAGATCTAGGATCATGGTTCAAAAAGCCAGCCTGGGCAGGAAAAGCTGTGAAACTCTTACCTCCAATTAACCACCAGAAAAATCCCAAGTGGCGCTGTGGCTTAAGTGGTTGAGTACTGGCCTTGAGCTGAAGAGCAGAGGGACAGTGCTCAGACCCAGAGTTCAAGCCTCATGACCGACAAAAAAAAAAAAAATAAGAAAAATGAATTATGGGAAGAAGCTGTTGAAATGGTCATGGAGGATGGATATTAATGAAAATAGAAGGAGAGAAATGAACAACACTGTTGTTTAAGTAACAGTTTAAGTACAAAGACTGGAGCACATGTACCCTGTAGTGGCAAGGGTGACAAAGAAGGTGAGTTAAGAATGCAGTCCACTGAAGGGGACTTCAGGCACACTTATTTGCACAAGGTAAGTTTAGATCATTCAAATGCATTTCACAGAAAATTCACATTAAACCACAGGACCTGTGCATTGCCAATGAGCTGTATGGATGCCTATATTAGAAAAGCATAGTTGCATGGTTAGCTTTTCTCCCTCAGTATGATGGAAGGGTGAAAGAACAAAGCTAGATTGTCGCTGCCTTTTTGTAATTGGCTGTGTAGTTCAATTCAACTTTAGAGGGCGTTTGTTGCCACCTAGTGGTAAGACGAACCTGGGCTGTAAAACGCAGAATTTTAATACCCCATCTGAGGTTAACAGTAGATGAAAACTATTTATGTTGCAGTGCTTCAGTCTTTGTAATTTATGAGAGATCTGTGGAATGCACAAAAGGAGATCATCTAACTAAGTTAACATATAGAACCAGGCGTGGAGGTACACACCTGTAATACCAGCACTTGGAAGGCTGAGGATTTTATAAGTCCTTCCATAAGTGCCTATATGGTCCAGTGTACTGTGAGGTAGAGTGGAAATATATGAGTTTGTTTCTGAGAATCTAGCCCAGGCCTTGTGCATGCTACAAGCATCTTACCACTGAGTTACATACCTAGCCCCCGGAATTTGTGCTTTAAAGGTGACATATGTATAGTTTCAGATGACAGCGGCCACCAGTGCTTCCTGAGTGGAGTATTTCCTGAGGGAGTGGCATGTGTATAAACAGTAACGCTCCTATGCCACACTCACATCCCCCACAGAGCTTGGTGGATGTGCACGCTTCCATATATCCATGTAAACACCACCCAGGTCAGATGCAAACTGTCTTCTGCACCCCCAGATTTTTCCTCATGTCCCCTGCCACACCCCCTTCCTGGAGACCAAGAGGTAGTTGGGTTGGGCTGGCTTCTCCATGTTTATAAATGCATGTTATCCTCGTCCAGGAAATTGGCTTAATTTAATCCAGTTTATAGTATCTTCCCACAGTTACACTGTATTTGTGCACATATTCCTGAAATTACCTTCTACTATCATTAAAAAAAACTTGTAAAGCAAAAAACCCCACTGGTTGGGTCCCAGTGGCTCAAGCCTGTAATCCTAGCTACTCAGGAAGCTGAGATCTGAAGATCCAGGTTCAAAGCAGACAAATCTAAGATACCCTTCCTTATCTCCCAACAACCAGTGAAAAGCTGGAAGTAGAGCCATAGCTCAAGTTGCAGAGTGCCTGTATCGAGCAGAAAAAGCTAAGCAAGAATACAGAGTCCTAAGTTCAAGCCCCAGTACTGGCACCAAAGAAAAGTTCCTACCATGAGTCTGGGGGTAGGCAGTGATCAGGGAACAAGTGGTACACAGGAATGCCTACGTTTTCACATGACGCCAAGTAGTTTCTGTTTCTAGTTGTAGGTTCTGAATTCTAATGCTGCCTGCAGGAGAAGAGTCATTCCCTAGATAGACCAACAGCAGCAACAAAAGCAAGCCAAACATTCCCTTCCTCTCAGCTATGGACAGAGGTGAGAATGAGCTTCCTTATGAATCATGTCCTTGTCTTGCAGTGCCTTTAAAGAGAAACGCTGGCTTCAGCAGTTAGGAATAGCAAGAGTCCTGGCCAAAAAGAGCATTTCTACGCTGACTACCCAGGAAGGTTTGGCCGTGTGTGAAAGCCATCCACAAATCACGCTTTGAAGTCATGGCAACCCTGGTTTGGGCGAAGACCTGGTGAGATGGAGTCTCCGGCTCTCCCATGAAGACCACCCTCAGCAAGTACGGAGTGTTTGCTGGTGTTTCCTTGGATCCCAAAACTCAGGAGAGATCCTGAGGAAGAACTCACAAGCAACAATGGCAGTTGCTTACCATAGGATAGAGGATGGGGCGTTTATTGTTTGATTTTCTGCTTTTCTGGATTTTTTTCAGTGCTTTGAGGTTTTTAAGTTTTACAAATGTAGAACATAATAAAAAAAACTAGACCTAAGTTTAAAACTTTTACATGAGAAAGTCCTTAGGAGAGTTACAAATGAGGACTGCAGACATCTTTTTAACTTCTGCTGGAAGTCTCTATTAACTTAAATGAAGGTCATGTTTACAGATAATGTATTGGGTGGGTGGTAAATGTAAGGACCAAGGGTCTGACATAGATCTGTGCAAACAACATTGGCCCAATCCAGATGTGGACCACTTTATTTGCAATCAGAAGGTGTCTTCAAGCCCCTTTACAAGGCAGTCTCGGGCCAGATTCCCAAGTCACTGTGCCTGGGTTATTTTGCTCTATTGATGTTTGGGGATTCAATTACATGGCCGCATGTGCCAATGCTAATTTGTTTTATTGCTTACTGTGCATTACTCAATTGTACAGATACAGTATAATCTATCTGTTCAACTAGACGGAGATTTAGATTGTCTTTGGTTTTGAGATACTATGAATGAAGCCCTTAAGAACATTATTGTAAAAGCTTTTGTTTTCCTTTCTTTGGGTAAACAACTAGGAATTACTGGATCATAAGATGAATGCACACTTAACATATAAGAGTGGTCCAAGCATTCTCCGGTGCTTTTCCCATCTCACACTTCCGCTAGCAATACACAAGCGCAGACCTTACCTCATGAGCTTCACTAACGTTCGCTGTCAAGCGCTGTCATTTTAGCCATTCCGTGGTCCTCCTGCTTCAGCGCCCTCAGTGGGATTATGGGTATGTTTTGATGAATAAACGGTTTTAGATTTCAGTACAAGTTACTGTTTTTATCTCCATGCTTTGTTTCCTTTCTTTTTTTTTGTTGGTCATGGGGCTTGAACTCTGGGCCTGGGCGCTGTCCCTTAGCTCTTCAGCTCAAGGCAAGCACTCTACCACTTGAGCCACAGCACCACTTCTGGTTTTCTGGTGGTTCATAGGAGGTGAGAATCTCACGGTCTTTCCTGCCCGGGCTGGCTTTGAACTGCCATCCTCAGATCTCAGCCTCCGAATGGCTAGGATGACAGGCGTGAGCCACCTCACCTGGCCTTTGTTTCCTTTCTATGAATACTTTTTTTGGTGATGTTGGAATTTGAACCCAGGCCCTGGAGCTCACTTGGCTGGCTTTTGGCCGGTCCCCTACCCCTTGAGCCACACCTCCAGCCCTGCTTTCTGCAGGTCATGTTAGAAACGAAGTCTCACAGACTTTGTCCATGGGCTGGCTTTGAACCGAGGTCCTCTGACCTCAGCCCCCGGAATAGCTAGGATTGCAGGTGTGAGCCTCTGGGCTCTGACAATTCCTTACCTACCCTGGACTCGGGAAGGTACCTTTCTACACTTTCTTCTGGAAGCTTCACTGGTTCAGTATCTCTCTGTCTGTCTGTATCTCTCTCTGTCTTTGTGTCTCTCTCCGTCTCTGTCTGTCTCCGTCTCTGTCTTTCTCCGACTCTGTTCTCTGTCTGTCTCTGTTCTGTTTGTCTCCGTCTCTGTCTGTCTGTCTCTGTCTTTCTCCGACTCTGTTCTCTGTCTGTCTCTGTTCTGTTTGTCTCCGTCTCTGTCTGTCTGTCTGTCTCTGTCTTTCTCCGACTCTGTTCTCTGTCTGTCTCTGTTCTGTTTGTCTCCGTCTCTGTCTGTCTGTCTCCGTCTGTCTGTCTCTGTCTGTCTGTCTCTTCTCTGTGTCTGTCTCCGTCTGTCTGTCTCTGTCTGTCTCCGTCTCTGGCTGTCTCCGTCTCTGTCATTCTGTCTCTGACTCTGTTCTCTGTCCTTCTCCGTCTCTGTCTGTCTGTCTCTGTTCTCTGTCTGTCTCTGTTCTCTGTCTCTGTGTCTGTCTCCGTCTCTGTGTCTGTCTCCGTCTCTGTCTGTCTGTCTCCGTCTCTGTCTGTCTCCGTCTCTGTCATTCTCTATCTCCGACTCTGTCTCTGTCTGTCTGTCTCTGTTCTGTCTGTCTGTCTCTGTCTCTCTGCCCCCCCCCCGCCTTTCCTCCCTCCCTACTCCCACTCTTTCCCTCTCTCTTCGGGCCCCGCAGCTGGGTTTGGGGAGCTCCGGGGAGCGCGGGGCCTCCCGCAGTCTCGGGTTGGCAGTGCGGCTCGCAGCCCGCGGCCCTGCGCGGGGCGGGCTGGAGGCCGGGGTCC